TCCTTCTGCCTCAGCTTCCCAGAGTGCTAGGATTCTAAGTGTGAGCCACTGTGCCCAACCAAGAGAGCTATTTCCTGTCAGGACCTTCAGACCTGTGTCTTCTGAGAGACTTGGAACCAGGTTCGGCTACATAATTTGCAGACTTGATGCAAAATGAAAATGTGGGACCTCTATGTCAAAGTTATTAAGAGTTTCAAGTAAGCAAAGGCAGAGCATTAATAAGCCAAGCTTGGGGCCATCCCAAATGTGGGGCTTGTGCAGCTGTACAGCTCAGTCTCTAGGATACGTCTGACAGCAGTGAAGCTGGCCCTGACCCCCACTGTCATGTGAAGAGGAAAACCCTGGGGGTCTCCTCTGTCACTACAGTCATCCACTGTCACTAAAGAATGTCTTCATTCCATTCTGACCTCTCTCCTGTGAGTCTTCTTCTCCAGGAGACCCCATACCTGGGGGGCCATGGGAGGAAGCTAGGGAGGGGCCATTGCCCCCAGGTATGGATCATGGCCAAAGAGAAAAATGCCCCAATCTAGAATGAAACATTTTGCATCGGCTTTGCAATAACATTTTTAAAACAAGTGGCTGTTCTTTTCCCCTTCTCAGAAGTCCCCAGTCTAATGCCATCAGATGTACCACAGAGGCTCTGTGCTGGTAGCAAGTGTGAGGGGCTCTAAATCTTCCTGTAATTTGTGCAGCTGTGGCTGCCATCTGTGGCTGCACCTCTTGAGATAGAAAGCTGGCTGTCTGCTGCTGCTAACCTTTGGGTGTGCCGCTGTGAGAATGCTAATCTCAGGCTTACCCAGGAGGTTTGCCTAGAGCCCCTCTGCTCTGGGGTGGACCACATGGCTTAAAAGGGGATCGTATGGGAAAAGGGCTCCGATGTAATATAGAGCCATCCTCATGGCCAGAATCTCCAGCCTGAGGAGGAGTATTGACCCAACAAGGGGAGCAAGCATGTGTCCTGGGTGAGCACACAAGCCCTGGCCTACTGCCCCTCACCTCCGCAGACAAAGGGTAGGGCTGTGGGATCTGAGCCCACACAGGAAGTCCACCCTTTCTCTGTGTCTATAACTGGCCTGCAGCATCAGCCTCAGTATTCAGGGCTGAAAGTTCCTATCAGCTGATTCCAGGACCTGGGGTTCCCCTGACTTAGTTCTCCTCTGAGCCCTGCCAAGGATCAGCGGCCCTCCCTGTTTTTGAAGAAGCTGTGCACCTGGCTTCACTTGGTCCGCCACTGGTAGGCAGCCACCCAAAAAACAGCACAGCATGTGGGGGACCAGTGCTCTGGCTTGAGTCCTGGCTTGGCACTCACTAGCTATATGAGCTCGGGCAACATTCTCAGCTCCCTTGAACCTCAGTTTGCTCATTGAAAAATAGGGCGCCATTACTTTCTGAGTATGTATTTGAGTGTGAACGCTATGTCAGGAGCCTGCTGGGAACTGGAGACACAGAGGTGATCAAGACAGATGCAGCCCTTTACATCTGGTGTAGGATATGGGTGGCTAACAGGTGCTTTCTCTGGAGTGTGTGTGCCTGCCCCGGGCCTGCTCACTTTGCACTGCAGTGGGTTGGGCTGGAGAGCTGATGTCATGGTCCCTGAGGTATATGTTCCTCCAGCTCCTACATGACACAGCTTCTGTC